ATTTGTATTCATTCATTCATTTATTCATTTTCAAATCCACTTATTCTGTTTCAGGGTCAAGGGGGGCAGGAACCTATCCTCACAGATCAGGTGTAAGGAGGAAACCCCCACTGGACAGGAAGCTATTTAATCACAGGGCACATTCAAACACACACACACACACACACACACACACACACACACACGCACTCACTGAGACTGGAGAAATTTAGACAAACCAATTAACTTAACATGCACATATTTGGGATACAGGAGGAAACTGAAGTACCTGGAGAAAACTCATGCAGGCATGGGGAGAACATGCAAACTCCACACAGAAAAGGCCCTGGTGGGGAGTCAGTTTCTTCTCTCATCAATGTTACAAGGATATGACATCGAATGAAATGACGTTATTGGAGGGTCTTCCTGTGACCCTTCTGTTCAAGAACTGTCTTCGTATTGTTGGTCTTTAAAGGAAGCTGCATTGTGAGCAGAACTTAAGAGATCCCTTGGACTGCATTGGTTCCATGAATAATTTTCCCTGCACTGTGATGACATGCTAGGTTCTAGGGAGAAAATAGAAGTTTGCATCTGGAAGTGGGTTAACCCCTATCTCTCCCTGTACTCTGCAGGCTGCTGTGGTGTCCGTGTTACCCATGCCATGGACACGATGCTGGCCACAGCTCAATAGAACTCTGTGTTCTCAGCATCCACTTCAATCTTCCCTCCTGATAGGAATGATCTGAACAGTTGACTTAATGCTGCTCGTTGGTATTGTTCCATCTCCTGAGTACCTGACACTGATGTCTATGACTTAAACATCTCCGTCCTCCTTCCAAGTTCTCAGGCTACTGCTGGCTCTTTCAGCTTATTCCAGTGCATTACGTGCGCTACAAGTGGTGGAGGAGGAAAGGAAAAATGGTTTAACATGTAAATTAGGACCCTCTAACTCAGGAACAGAAGAGAAATAATGTAATGGTTGGGTCTCCAACCTGAGTCACACAACTGACAGATCCGTGCTAAACTGAACCCCTGCCCTGCTAGCTGAGCAATGGACATGTGCACAATTCACACATATTTCCTTATTACGTCCTTAATTGCGATGTTGTCAGGATGCCTCTCTGGTCTACCCTGTTGACACCTGTGGCAATCACTGCATTCTCTGAAGTTTCTTAATTTACGTCAGTGCTCTCTCTAACTATTGAATCGAGGTGGAATTGATGCAAGCTCATTCCTTATTCAAAGGGAGAGTAAAAATATTCTCAATTATAAAGTTGAAAGGAATGATCTGATAGGAGGAATAAATTTGTAAAACTGTCAACTTACTCTAAAGAGTTAATGTACCTTCAAACAGGAGAGTTTTCTGGATTTCCCTTGAAGTGCCACAGTCAGATGGGATGGCTCTCACCTCCATGTGACCTGCAGTAAGCAGAGGGAGGGACGAGTCAGGAGGTCCTGGGAGGCTGCACGGGCTGGAAGCAGGGTACACATTCTGACCTTTTCTCTCCCCAGAACTGCCCGTTGTCCAAAGAGGACGTGTCCTGCCTGAAGCGGGGAGAATTTTCCCTCTCTAAGATATGAAAATTAAAGAAATGGGTTCCTTCCAGAATTTGGGTCAGTTGTTTCCAGGAAAGTGCCGCTTTTTAGCTCTGAAGAAAAAGGTGCTGGAAGGAAACAGACTTATACAGAGAACAAACTTGGCCACTGTCTCTGGTCTTGGCAGGTAGGTGGCTCTCTCACAGTGTGAAGTTACCCTTGATACCCACAAAAGCCAAAGAGATCAGGGAACTCAAGGCAAGGGAGAGCAGAGCTCCAGACATGAGAAGAACCTACCCATGACACTTGGGGCTTCATGAGAAAGACAGGAGACTCTATGTAATGGGGCGTCTGTGGCAACAGTTTTGTTTTTTCATTCTTCGAGGAATAGCGGGCTTTCTAGAAGTCTTCTCTACATCCCTATATGTGGTTGACAGAACTCTGACATTTTTGCTTAGTAGTTTTCCATCCACTGACCACCAAATGCAGAGGCAGGGGCTTGTCGATGATAAGAGAGACCTAGATGGAAGATTGAAAGTGGCAGAAGGAAGGAGGGGCAGAAGTAAATGGAAGAACAAGTCTTAGAGGGGCCAGACTGGGGAGGTCTTAAGCTTCTACAAAAGGCCAATGAAGTTATACATTTTTTTTCCAGCAAAAATCCTGCCTACAAGAAAGGAAGCAAACAGAGGATTCAAATATATAATTTTAAAAGACTTGAGTTTACAGAAAAAAAGTTTACATGGGATATACAAGATCACAAGGAGAAAATCAGAAAGACCTTTAAAAAATGGTAGCCTTGATATCAGCTTTAAATTAAGCTAATAATTGAATACAGAGGTCTTAAAATTACTTTAAACTCACTTATCGGATTTCAGCAAGAACAAACAATCAATATTTCTAATGTTTGAAACTTTCTTTTTTTTTCTCTTTTCTTTTAAAACAAAGACACCTAAGAAGTGCCTCAGAACAAAAACCAAGCCTTTTATGACTTCACCAAGGATGCATGAGACATCTTCAAAGAAATGCCAAGATGCAGTCCTCTCAAAATTCAGAGCCACCTCTAAAGATAGCCACAAGAAAGAAAAATTTAGACGTCTTGAGAGGTAGCAATAGTCAATATGTAAGCTTCCAATGGGAGCCTCCAACTTTTGGATTGGCCCCCTGCACAGACTGAAGAGTGTCCTGACAGGCAGCAAGCCAAGTCAGGTTCTCAGGACACAAAACAACAAAACGACAGCTGTCTTTTGAAGGGATAGGATCAATAACAAATGGGTCCCATAAGTCCAAATTTACACAAGAGAACAATTCCAACAAATGATCTCCTGATGACCTGCATTTGGAAAGGAAGAAATAAAGAGAAATTTTGACCTTTAGTTCTTGACCAGACACTACAAGCAGAAATTCAGAACTGACCTTGGTAAAATTCTTACCTTTATTAGCAAGTTCTTTATCAGTCTTTTACCAGGACCTCATCAGTACGTGAGTCAGGTGCTTCAGGCATCCCATCTTCATCACCAAAACTATAGGGGCAGAAATAGTGTGATCTCTTTCCTTCCTATCAAAAGGGTCACAGCTGACATGCCTATAACAAAAGACAGGTTAACAAGAGAGAAGCATAACACATGTATTGAATCATAGATTTGTATAACTATGGAAGCCTTCAAAATGAAGACCCAAAGTACAGGAAAAAACTATCCCTTTTTGTGCTTATGTTCCATGAAGAATGGACAGCTGAGTAGAAATGTGATTAGATAAAAAGGGCATCATCTAATGCTAATATTCTGAGTAGGGGAACCCAGCAATGCCCTTCTGGTCAGATACTTCTTGGTCTCTCCATGCACCATTCTTTCCTCTTGGGTATGTGGCCGAGCTCTTTTTGGAATGGGGGTCTTAATATCTACAATCAAACAAGGTAGGTTAGAGAATTTCTTTATGGCCCGTTCAGTTCTTACACACAAAGTTGAGGGAAAGTTAGAGTCATATTTTCAAATTTTATGGCTGGCTTTGGGGAAAAGGGGCTCTGTCAGGAGATGAGGGGTGACAAACAGCAGAGCAGGAGAAGGCCAGAGAGAAACTTTGCTTCTGAGGCTGCTTCTGAGACCTTCACTTTGGGGTATTATTTCTGAGCCTCAGTAGGAGTGAAAATGAGATCCAGAAAAGCTAGAGAAGAAGTAAGGAACTGTGCTGGGTATCGGAATCAGCAAGTGAATGATATGTATATTTCACTTAGGTTTAAGAAAATAAACTCTTCCAGATTTTCCTGTAAGATACTGTATCCTGACTGAATATACAAATCAGACTTATCTTCAGTATGAAGGGTGACTATTCTCCAGTTTTCTCCTGAATACTCCAAGAATTCTGCTCTTTAGATTATCATGTGTTATGCAGATTAAGGAGAGAGCATTCCCTTTTCCATTTTCTCTTTTTCTTTTTCTATTTCTTTTTTTTCTTTTTGAGACGGAGTCTTGGTCTGTCACCCAGGGGCTGTAGTGCAGAGGCGCCATCTCTATCTCCAGGGTTCAAGTGATTCTCCACCTCAGCCTCCCGAATAGATGGGATTACAGGCACCCAACACCATGCCTGGCCAAATTTTGTATTTTTAGTAGAGACAGAGTTTCACCATATTGTCCAGGCTGGTCTTGAACTCCTGAACTCAAGTGATCCACCCCCCTCGGCTCCCAAAGTGCTGAGATTACAAACATGAGCCACTGCACCCAGTCCCTTTTCTGATATATATGTAGTAATTAAGAAAATGATAACCATATATTTATAAAATAAGAAAAGCACATGTATACATATATGTTTTATATATACACACTGTATATATATAGTGTGTGTGTGTGTGTGTATATATATATATATTCTAGAGGCTGGTCTGCCTGAGATTTGGGCAGGGACACAGATCCAGACCATATTAATCACCATTCTCTCTTTTTGTCAATCCCTCTGCTTCCTCTGTGGCTTTTCTCTTCCCTCCCTTTAAAGGTAGAAGGTCCTCAGAATCATGCTTAAGTCTTTTTCTCCCTCTACACTCTCTCCACACATGAGCACTTCCATTTCTGGGATTTTGCTTGCCACATATGAAACCACAGCAATTGCATTCCTTATAATTTGAAAACTCATGTATCCAACCGGCAACAGACGGTTTCTACCACATGTTATACCAGTCAACTTACAGAGGATATCTCTATTTTTATTTCCTGACATGTTTCAGTTTACATGCTGCCAAAAGAAATCGTCGTTTGTTCTTTTTTCTCCTTAGAGTACTTAGCATAACTGATATTAAATATTATTACTATTTTTAGTTTGATTCCCTACAAAAATCAAATATTCAAGAGAGTAGAAAATAGATTTATTGTATTTACCTTTACATATTGAGTACAACATGCAACCTGGTTTAGAGAAAGGTCATTTTTACTTACATCTCTCATATAATAATGATGAGTAAATAAATTTTACCCTTTATTCTCTAATCAGGTTGCACGTCAGGATAAGAATTTCATGTTAAAGGATGAACACATACAAGAAGTTCCTATAGTAAAAGTTTAATGAACAACATAAAATAATGAATTGAGTAGATACAAGGAAAATGTTTTATTACACTAGCCACAGTGTAAACGTGCACCTGACGTTATACGAACAAAAATAATTTAAATCTTATAAATAGTTAAATAAATATTTAAATAGATAAATCAATTTATCAGCATGATCATAGTTATAGCAGGAGTGAGAGTCTTTGAAATGGCAGAATTCATGAAAGTGTGAGCTGGTGTATGAGTCAATAAGAATTGTTTTCATGTTGGACCAGGTGTTATTCCTTCCTCCTTAATCTTTCTTGCAAGTTTGTTGATAAAGAGAAAGATCTCATGATTTCTGCTCTGACAACCTCCCAGGCACAAGGGCTGTATTTCTTCTCTGTCAGATAGAGAGTGATTCTTCGGAAGTATTTCTTCACAGCCAAGGTGGAGTCCGCATTCATCAGGGGAGTTTCTCCCACCCTCTCCTGCTGCATGACACAGGCTTCCAAGTCATTCAGCTGCTGGTAGAGTTCAGTGCAGAATTTGTCTAGGAGGTCCTCATCCCAAGCAGCAGATGAGTCTTTTGTGGTAAAGAGGTTGAAGGTCTGCTGGATCAGCTCATGGAGGACAGAGATGGCTGGAGCCTTCTGGAACTGGTTGCCATCAAACTCCTGCTGGGGAAATCCAAAGTCATGTCTGTCCATCAGACAGGAGGAAGGAGAGATTCTGCTCATTTGTTTCAGGAGCATCATGGTCCTTCTGTTATCCAGGCTGTGGGTCTCAGGCAGATCACAGCCCAGAGAGCAGCTTGACTTGCAGCTGAGCACCACCAGGGCCATCAGTAAAGCAAAAGGCAATGCCATCGTAGATATTGCAGATGCTTCTGGGCTTGCTGAGATGGGTGACTCTGAACCTTGGGCTCTAGGTTTTCTGAAGGCCTTGCTTCGAGCCGATGACTTAAATAGGGAACATACTGATTTCCACTTTCTTAATGCTCCTGGGCCACTTTCCATTTCTGTTTTTGCTTTCCTTCATGCACTCTTTACATGAGTTGAGAGCAGTGTTTCTCAACCATTTGGTTTTTCATTATTGCCTCCCCCATCTTGTTCCCAGAGACTTTTAAAATATTTTTTTCCTAATTGAACCCACTGTGAAAATTTAATAACACAGATATAGTATGTATCTATTTGTGTACTATGTGTATATCTCTATACTCAAAAAGCACAAAGTTTAATCTTTTAATTCAATGCAGGTTTAAAAATAACCAAATGAAAATTTTAAGCTAAAAATTAGATTTAAATTCTATTCAAATTTAACTGAACTTTATAACTAAATTTGCTTATGGGCTTCAGTGTAATTTATTTACTGATATAAATTGTAATGTATTAAATTACATAAGCAAATTAACAAATTATAAATATTATCTAATATTTATAGATAAGACATTATACATCTAAGTAGTGAATGCTTACAAATTATTTGAAACTGATAAAGTCTTAAAATTTTTAAATATTTTTATCATTTATTTTATTATACTTCTAATTTTGTTGCATGTGAGAAAATTTTTAACTTCACTAGCTGCTAGATACTCACCTAGATATTGTCAAGAGTTTTTTCTTCAATGCTTGACCTAAATATTGATGGGTTGAACAACTTCAGTAGAATTTTTAAAATATAAATTATTTATATTTCATTTCAAAGCCCACAACACAGACAGAAATGCTAAGGATCAAACATAAGCAATACCTATAAGATGGCCAGTGACAAACCATATGTATGCAGAGGACACCTCTTATGATATGACTTTTAGTTCTAATAAACCTTGGAAAGTACTCCAATCACAGCTACTCATTTGCCACAGGTTTGTAATGCTGAACTTTTATACCTTTTGTGTATCTTCCATGAACTCAATATCAGTGCTTCTCATGTGATACACAAGAAAACCCAATGGAGAGAAAAAAAAACCTAAGGAATAAGATTTTGTTAAATAGGGTTGAGCTTTGGAGGGCCACAAACCATTTAAATATGTAAGATTTGTTCCCACTCCCAAGAAGTAACTTCTACACCCTTGGGAGTAGTATCATATGCAATGAGAATTCATAATTGAAAAAAAATCCCCAATTTGATTTAAAAAAATTTTTGGCATGAAAGTTCAAATTACCAAAGTACATTCAGAGTATCTTTGTTGATTTCCTAGCAAACGAAAGGAAACCATCTTTGTCCTAAATGCATGTAATAGGATGTAAATGTAGTAACATAAATAAGTTGACAATTGTTTGCCATAGCATGCCAGACATCAGATACCTTTCTTTCTCATTTCATTTTCATAGAAAGCAAAAGTTGTCACTTTTTGCATCCTAATGAATGGGGACAAAAAGACAACACAAGTGGCCGGGCACGGTGGCTCACATCTGTAATCCCAGCACTTTGACAGGCCAAAGCGGACAGATCACCTGAGGTCGGGAGTTTGAGACCAGCCTGACCAACATGGTGCAGGTTAAGGGGTGGGAAAGAGCAGAAGCAACATGGTAGAGGGGATGTAGGTCAAAGGTAGCAAATAAGTATAGGCTGGAAGAAAAGTAATTTCTCTTGGTCCACAAGTTGTTTTCAGATTTAGTGAACCCCTTCTTGCAAATATACTAACGGCAAGAGTTTATACACAAGAAAGACACATTGTTGAGAGTACAATATTCTCTCTGGAAAATGGGTCAGTGTTCACTGCACCAAATTCTCCACTATTGGATAAGTAAACTTAGAAGGTCAGCTTTTTTTCTTCTTATATTTCTAGTAAGAAAAAAGAGAATTCATAATTTCAGAGGACACTTCCCTAACTTAATAGAGTTATATAATAAAGATAATGTTAATAAGAGAAATGAAATATCAGGCTGGGCGCAGTGGTTTATGCCTGTAATCCCAGCACTTTGTGAGGCCGAGGTGGGCAGGTCACCTGAGGTCAGGAGTTCGAGACTAGCCAGACCAACATTTTGAAACACCGTCTCTACTAAAAGTACAAAATTAGCCTGGCGTGGTGGCACATGCCTGTAATCCCTGCTGAAGCAGGAGAATTGCTTAAACCCAGGAGGCGGAGGTTGCAGTCAGCTGCGCCATTGCACTCCACTTGCACCCCAGCCCAGGCAACAAGAATGAAACTCTGTCTCAGAAAAAAAAAAAAAAAAAAGAAGAAGAATGAAATATCTAAATTGTGGAAAGTCTTTATTTATTTTCAGTCAGACACTGTTTTTAGCACTTGCATAATCAATGCTCACTTAGCCAATAAAGAATACCCTCGTTTTTCATAGTTACTGTACGTCTACCATGTACCTAGCCCCATTTATTCACTGGAGATATCACTGACCAAAGCACACAGTGGTAGATTTTACTATTGTCCCCATTTACGAAAGAAAAAAAAAAAGAAATCCCAGGGAGCTATTAAGTTGTGGAGCTACATTTTGGATGGAGAAAATTCAGCTCTGAAGTCTTACCTCTTACATGCTCTCTGGGATTATATCTGGACATAAGAACCGGAGCTGATTTCTAGGACAATCAATGTTTTCCTAGTAGAGTCCTGCATACCTAACGACAGGGTCTTTCTCTTCAGTTTCCATTTGTCTCCTTCACTGAAATGCCCCATTTGTCCATGCCAACATGTTACATTGCAATTAAATTGGGCCCCACTTTACTTACACATTATATTCTAGTTTTGTCTTCTTGAGGATACACCATCATAAGCACGAACATATTCGTAAAACACGTTGTTCACCCAGTGAATATATTCATCAACCCTGTATATTTCTGTCAATTTAAAATTCTACACAGTACTATTTATTCTTTTAATCAAATATCCACAATACTTTAGATTTACACCTGTGTAGCAGAAATTTAAGAAAGAACAAGTCATTGTCAGGCTAGAGACATGAACTAAATCAGAACTAAACCAATGAACTAAGGCTCAGAGCTCAGGGAGAGCACACCTGGACAGGTTAACTAAAGGGGTTATTAAAGGTGTGGAAATGAAAACACTTCTGGAGAAATGAGGAGAGTCCATGGCATTAGAGGATGAGGACTGAGATGACAAAAGACCCTGAGTCACCTGACTTACCAACTGGTTGATGCCTTTTACGTTGTAGGCCACCAGAGTGTGCTGCAGTGTTGATTGTACTGCCTTAATTTAAGGATCTGGTGAAGAAAAATTTATGCTGACACTTATGGTATAACAGTAAGGAAGGCTTTATTTAGAAGTATTGCAACAGGTGTTGAAACTATCACGATAGGTGTATTAGTTCTTGCATTACTATATAGAAAAACCTGAGACTGGGTAATTTAGAAAGAAAAGAGGTTTAATTGGCTCACGATTCTGGAGACCATATAGGGAGCATGGCTGGGGAGGCCTCAGGACACTTACAATCATGGCAGAAGGCTAAGTGGAAGCAGGTATGTCCTGCATGACCGGAGCAGGAGGAGAGAAGCAGGGGAGGTGCTGCATAATTTTAAACAACCAGATCTTGCAATAACTCACTCTTACCATGACACTACCAGGGGGTGGTGTTAAACCACGAGAAACCACCCCATGATCCAATCATCTCCCACCAGGCCCTGCCTCCAACACTGGGGATTGCAATGCCATGTGAGATTTGGATGGGGATGCCGACCCAAACCATATCAATAGGAGAGAGAGAACAACTGGTGCTCAGCTCAAAAATCAGCAAAGACAGCCTGGGGTGTATACCCAACAAACAGAATGAGGGGGTCAGATAGAAAGTCACTAAAAGGAGACATCAAAGGCAGGGGGATCCCTGCTAAACTGAACGTAATTCTTTCTAAAGGCAAGCCAGGGTAATTATATATTGAGTGTGTGGGATGAAAATTTTGATCAGATATCAAGGTTAAATCAGCTATCAAGCATGGAAAGATTCTCATAAAACTGATGTAGTAAAATTCCTGCTACAACTGGACTTGGCAGACCTAAGAATGGACGCCAAGGTACCAGCTAGCCAACAAGAGAGTTTGTAGGAGCCTGACTAAAGTTTGGCGAAGGACAGAGTCGTCATCAGAAACTTAAGGGGTAAGAGACAGAACTATCTGCTAAACAGTTACAAGGGAGATTAAATTTTATGTCTTTTGAAAACAATACTATTTAATGAAAGATTTTAATCAATGAAATATATATTTTTTAAATTTTAATCAGTAATGTTAAGAATTGTGGAAGCCCATTTTTTTTTAACTTGTATTTCTAATCAATTCTAGACCTATAGAGAGTTGCAAAGATAGTATTGGGAGTTCTCTTCCCTTCACTCAGCTTCTCCTAATGCTAACAACTTACATAGCCATGAAACAATGATCAAAACTAAGAAATTAAAACTGGTGCTTTAATATTTGCTAAACTTGGCCAGTCGCCAGTGGCTCACGCCTGTAATCCCAGCACTTTGGGAGGCCTAGGCAGGCCGATCAGGAGGTCAAGAGATCGACACCATCCTGGCCAACATTGTGAAACCTTGTCTCTACTAAAAATACAAAAATTAGCTGGGTGTGTTGGCTCACGCCTTTCGTCCCAGCTACTCAGAGGCTGAGGTAGGAGAATTGCTTGAACCTGGGAGGTGGAGGTTGCAGTGAGCCGAGATTGTGCCACTGACCTCCAGTCTGGGTGGCAGTGCGAGAGTCCGTCTCAAAAAAAAATTTAAAAAAAGATACAAAACAAAAAACAAACAACGAAAAATTTGCTAAACTTCAGGCTTCACTGTGATTTCCTTAACTTTTTGACTGATGTCCTTTTTCTGATTTCAGATTCAATACAGGGTCCCATATTACATTTCATTGTCACATCTCTTTATTCTCCTCTCGTCTATAACATGGACTGAGTCTTTCCTGACTTTCATGACCTGGAGACTTTTAAAGAATATTCTTTAGTTCCTTTGTAGGATGTTCGTCAATTTCGATGTGTGGAATTTTCTCATGGTTCCATTATAGATTTAAGGGATGAATACAATGGAGTACATGCTCATTACATCAAATAATACAGGAAACATACAATATCAATAGCTTATTGCTGCTGATATTAATCACTTGGCTAAATTGTTGTCTGCCAAGATTCTCCTATGTAAAACTACTATTTTTCCCTTTCTATATTGCATGTGTCAGAAACATGTCACTAATATGAGCCCACATTAAAGGGAGGATAATTAAGTTCTACCACATAAAGAACAATATATCCAAGACTTCGCTGATATATTTTAAAACATCACAGTAATTTTAAAATCTGTTGGAGGGAGATACATTGAAGATATGCAGTCATCCTCAATTCCTTCAAAGTTTTGCTCACTTGTTTTGTGATTTACCTGTGGATCTTGCCTATTGCAATTATTTTTCTGTGATATTCCATTTTTCTCATTCTTTCTGTATTTGTTATTTGAAATGTTTCTGAAAGAGTTGGCCCTCCTCTCCAATTTATGACTATCCACCCACTCATTTACTTATATCAGTATGAACTCATGGATATTTATTCTATTATTTGGGTTATAATCAAATACTATCACTATTTTGTTTCTCTACTTGTCCCAACCTTGGCTATTGGAAGCTCTTTCAGGTTGACTCCTGTGTGTTTTTGATGTGCACCTATAGTTTTTGTTTCTGGGCCCTTCCCTATCTTCTGATACCACAAGATACTCCAGAGTATCCTGGTACTTCCATGCCCTATACCTGGAATCAGTTATTTCTCCCAGAAGTTCTCATGCATTTTATTGGACATTGGTTAAATGGCAATTTGGCTGAGCAAATAATAAATACTAAAAACTGAGAATATATCGATTTTCAAAATTCTAATCCAGTATAATGAGGTCTATTCTAGCCTTAACATTTTGATTATTTGAAACTTCTTTTCCCAGTTCTGAGATATCTGGCTTATATTATCCACAAGATTTTACTTATTTATTTAACCCTAGTAATTCATGTAAAGTAGTTCCAGAACAACTAACCAGAATCCCTGTGAGAAACCAATCTACCACCTAAACATAGTATCTATGTACAACTCTTTCATCTTCAGCCTTACAGTCTGTAGTCACTAAATGGTTGGACAAAGTATTTGTCATTTTCAAAAGGGTTATGTCATATATTCATCACATTATTTTTTCATAGTCTCCATTCAACCTTGGTTTCTGTTGCCAATGTGGTTGATTTTTTAAAAATATACATACAGTACAATTTACATCTTTTGTTGGATAGTTTCCCAGGTTTTAACCAATGAATAGAGGCAAAGCTTATCTATCTTTACTTGAAGTTTTCTTGTAAGTTTAAAGCTGAACAAAACTTTCTACCAATTTATACCATGACAGTGCCTAAGCATGCAGGATCTGACGTTTCTCCTTTAGGTCGTTGTTAGTCGCATTGATGACCCTCTTGAGATCAGTCAACTGTTTTAATTACCAAAAAATATACATCCAAATCTCACATATTCCCCAATTTGGAATTCTTGTTGTTCTCCCAGATGATGGAGCCCTCTGAAGGTCTTGTAGAGGATTCTGTGAAGAAGGTGGATTAGAAAACACTAGAACTCAGTCTCCCCATCTAGATAACAGTTGCAATAGCAAAATCTACCTGATATAACTATTTTGGAACTCTGGAATATATTTCAGGCTTGGAATTTCCAGGGGAAGTCTTGGATGGTAAATTGTGATTAATTTCAGTCAATTTTAGCTTTAATCACATTAGTATCAACAGATCCTCTACAGTTTTCCACCCCTAGTCTCCATGGCAGGTAGCTGTGCCCATGTTCCAAGAGCAGCTTGCTCACTGACGGGAGCCAGTGTTGGCAAAAAGCATACTTTCCTCCAAATATCAGGGATCTGTGCCCATTTTCTGGTTGCTATTTTTGATCCCCTTTGTAGCAAGGCCCACCCTCTCTAGCTGAAGTGACTTCCAAGGTATGAAACAGCCAGCACCATCCCCATCTCCATCTTTATTTTTTTCCGCTTTTTGGCAACCAGGCATTAAAAACTAGGACATTCAAGGTGAAAGTTAGAGAGTGACTGCACATGCCTAGGGAAAGGTGCAGACTCAGAAATACCCTGAGAAGACCTTAAGATTATACCTCAGGACAATCTTTACACAGAGACAGCCTGCAACAATGAAATCAAAAACAAAATAATATCAACAATCACTAAAGACTGGGTAAGGGGTTAATCTTATTTCCAGAATTACTACATTATTAGATTTGAATGTCCAGTTTTCAACATTAAAAATAATCACAATTTTCTGTGTTAATAATATATTAACACATAAAAATATGGCCCATTCAAAAAAAGGTCTCAGAAATCATACCTAAAAATGATCTGATAGCAAATCTACTAGATAAAGACTTTGAAGTAACTCTGTTAAAGATGCTCAAAGAATTAAAGGAAGATGTAGAGAAAGTCTCAAAAGCGATGCACAAACAAAATGAAATTATCAATAAAGAGACAACCTGTAAAGAACACAAACAAAAAATCTGGAGCTAAAAAGTGAAATAACTGAAATGAACACTGAACATTTTATTAGAGGGATTTGAAGGCACATTGGAGTAGACAAAAGAAAGAACTAGTGAACTTGAAGATCGGACAATGAAATTATCAAGTCTTAGAAACAAAAGAAAAATGATGAAATAAAAGTGAATCAAGTCTAAAGGAACCATGTATAGCATCCAGTGGATTTTAATGGGGAGAATCATCATGACCTGTGTCCCCAAATAATTGTAGTTTTCTTCTCATTGTTTAATCATATCATGGCTTTTGATTATATGTGTTAATGACTAAGTTTTCATTGGCCATTTCCTCTTACTTTCATCCAGATTGCCAGGTATCAAATAGCTTGATGTCCTCCAAATGACATGGTCCTGCAGTCCTCTCAGTCTATGAAAAATCATGAACATAAGCTTTAGGATCTGTCCTTGGTGTTTTTTCTTGTAGCTGCCGATTAGGCTACCAAAACATTACCCCCAAAATGCTAAATCAATGTTAGAAACATTGTTAATGATGTTCAGTAATAAAAATTACTGAAATAACCACTGCTTCCTAATAAGACAAGAAAATAGATGATAGTCATCCAAACAGAAAAGAAGAAAGTAAAACCTGTTTATGAAAAATGACTTGATCCTCTAGAAAATTCTTCAGAAACTTAAAAAATATGCTAGAATTTACTAGTCAGTTTATCTGAGTCAATATACAAAAATCAATAATATTTCTTTATATGCACAACAATCAGAAATTTAATCTTTAGAATATCATTCACAATATTATGAAGCATTTAAAATACTTAGGAATAAATTTATAGGAAGACATGTACATTGAAAACTATAAAATATTGCTGATAGAAAATAGATAAGACCTAAACAAATGGAGAGATATATTGAGCTAATGGATTAAAAGACTCAGTAATGTTAAGATATCAATTATAATCACATTGATCTATAGATTCAATGCAGTGTCAAAATTTCACCAGACTTTTTCTGTAGAAGTTGACAAACAGATTCTAATACTTATGTGGAAATGTAAAGGAACAACAATAACTGAAATAGGCCGGGCGCGGTGGCTCAAGCCTGTAATCCCAGCACTTTGGGAGGCCGAGACGGGCGGATCACGAGGTCAGGAGATCGAGACCATCCTGGCTAACACGGTGAAACCCCGTCTCTACTAAAAAATACAAAAAACTAGCCGGGCGAGGTGGCAGGCGCCTGTAGTCCCAGCTACTCGGGAGGCTGAGGCAGGAGAATGGCTTAAACCCGGGAGGCGGAGCTTGCAGTGAGCTGAGATCCAGCCACTGCACTCCAGCCTGGGTGACAGAGCGAGACTCCGTCTCAAAAAACAAAAAAAAAAAAAAAAAAATAACTGAAATAACTTGAAAAGGAAGAAAAATGTTGGAGATTTATAATCGCTAATTTCAAGACTTATATTACTAAAGTAATCAAGACAGTGAAGTATTAAAGACAAATAAATACATCAGTGAAAGAGACAATAGTTTGCACAAATAGAGCCTACATATACTGTTTATTGATTCTCAACACAAGCACAAAAAGCATTCAATTTTTAAAAAGAAAAATTGAATAAACAAATAGTGCTGAGATACACATCTCTATAAAAATGATAAATCTTGACCCATATTTTACAGAATAAACAAAAATTAAATTTTGAAATGGGATCATTCCAGTATTTGGGTCAGTTGTTTCCAGGAAATTTCCTCTTTTTAGCTCTGAAGAAAAAGCTGGTGGAAGGAGACAGACTTATACATAGAACAGACTTGGCCACTCTCTGGTCTTGGCAGGTAGATGGCTCTCTTACAGTGTGAAGTTACCCTTGATACCCCCAAAACCCAAAGAGATCGGGGAACTCAAGGCAAAGCTCCACATCTGAGAGAAATTGCACATGACTCTTGGAGCTCCACGAGGAAGACAGAACACCCCATGTAGTGGAGGGTCTGTGGCACTCTTTTTGCATGCTTCAAGGGACCCTAGGTTTTTTTTTCAAGTGTCTTCTACACCCCCTTTTGTGGTATCAAGAACTTTGATGTTTCTGCCTAGTAATTTTCTGTCCACTGACCATGAAATCGAGGGGGCAGGGGCTTGAAGGGTAACATATTCATGATAAAAGAGACCTAGATAGAAAATTGAAGGTGGCAGAAGGAAGGAAGTGCAGGAATAAATGGAAGAACAGGTCTTAGAGGAGCCATATTGGTAAGACTTTAAGCTTCCCAGAAAGGCCATTGAAGTTTTACTTTTTTTTCCAGCAAAAATTATGCCAACAAGAAGGGAGGCAGAGGGATCAAACATATAATTAAAAAGAGGTTTAGGTCTACTGAAGAAACTTCCCACGGGAGAAACAGGATCCCATTTTAAATCTCTTATCAGATTTCAGCAAGAATAAGCAGCCAATATTTCTAGCTTTTGAAATTGTTTTCTTTTTTTCCTTTTCTCTTTTAAACAAAGGTATCTACCAGGTGACTCCAAACAGAAACCAATTAAGTCTTTTATGATTAATGAAGGATGCATAAGACATCTTCAAAGAAATGCAAAGATGCAACCCTCTCAGAATTCAAAGTTACCCCTAAAAATAGCCAAAAGAAAGATTTAGACACTTTGTGAGCTAGCAACAGTCGATGACATGTAAGCTTGTCATGGGAGCCCCCAACATTTTTTTTTTGGCCACCTGCACATGCAGGTTTGTTGTACAGGCAGCAAGCCAAGCCAGGTTCTCAGGACGCAATATGAGACAAACAGGGACACAATAGCTGTCTATGGAAGGGAAAGGTTTAATAACAAATGGGTACTTTAAATCAAAATTACACAAGAATTACAATCCAAACAAATAATTTTCTCCTGCTATCCTGAATTTGGAAAAAAAGAAAGAGAAATTTTTACTTTCCATCCTTGACCAGGCACTATAGGCAGAGATCCAGGAGAACAGACCTTGATATAAATTCTTACCTTTCTTTGCCAACTTTTTGCCAGTTGTCCCGGGACCTCATCAGTAGGTGAGTCAGTTGCTTCAGCCATCCCATCCTCATCACCAGGACTATAGGGGCAGAAATGGTGGATCTCTTTCGTTCCTATCGTAAGGGTCATAGCTGGCACCTCTTTAACAAAAGAAAGACAGGTTAACAAGAGAAAAGCAAAGCGTATTTATTTAATTATAGTTTTATGCGACATGGGAGCCTTCAGAATGAAGACCCAGAGTTACGTAAAAAAATATTCATTTTAATGCTTAAGTTCAATGAAGAATGGACAGACAGCTGTGTAAAAAATGTGATTAGACAAAAAGGGCATCACCTAATGCTAATAGACTGAGTGGGGAAACCCAGCAAGGCCTTTCTGGTCAGATTCTTCTTGACCTCTCTGTGCAGCATTCCTTCCTCCCTGGCATAGGGCAGAGCTCCTTTTGGAATGGAGGTCTTATAACCTACAATTGAACAAGATAGTTCAAAGAATTTCTTTAGAGTCAGTTCTTACACAGAAAAGTAAGAGTAGTATTTCTAGGTTTTATGGCTTACTTTGGGGAAAAGGAGCCTTGGGAAAGGGGGTTTCTGGTTTTTATGGCTAACCTCTAGAGAATGAGGAGTGAGAAACAGGAGAGGAAAAAAGATCAAAGAGAAAATTTGCTTCTGAGGCTGCTTCTGAGACCATCAATTTTGAGTATTGTTTTTTCTGAGCCCTAACAAAAGTGAAGAATGGGATTCAAGAAAACAGGGGAAGAAGGAGGGAATTCTGCTAGGTATCAGAATCAGCCAGTATATATTATGTATAATTTACTTCAGTTTAGGGAAACAAACTGAACATATTATGAAATATATGTATTTCATAAGTTACCATTTCCTGACTAAATATACAAATCAAACTTACCTTCGATGTGAAGGGCGACTATTTTTCAGTTTTCTCCAGAATGCTTCCAAGAATTCTGTTTTTCAGACTGTCACGTTCTTGAAGATAGTAGGTACTGAGTTTGAGGAGAGTGTTCAATATTCTGATATATATGTATAAAATAAGAAAATAACCATATATCCATAAAATAAGAAAATGATGGCCATATATATGTATATATCAATTTCTAGATATTTATGTATAGATATATGATGTTGACTGTGTAGCTTGAGGAAAAGATTCAAGAGACCCCTCTGCAGTTGCAGGTCCTCCCTCCCTGCTACCTCAGCAATTCACACACACTCCCTGGGAAATACCTCCATGAAAATATGGTACCAATTACAGGAATGCCTCTCAAATTCTACCAAAATTGACACATGTGAATAAACAGACTTCACTAGCTCTCAGAGAATAATAATAATATTATTATTTTATATTCTTTAGCTTCTGTGGGATTTTTCCCTTTTGCTAACTAGGTACAGTTTTTATTGCTGAGCTGAGGAGCTGTCAAGATTACTATCTAAAGTTACAGTAAGAAAATGTTGATTTGTTAAAGTTTGAACTCTGACATTGGGAAGGAATCTGTGAAACTAAGATTGCACTGTCAAGAGTTTAATGCACTAAGAAACATGATATTTTTGTGAATAGTATTAAGTTCCAATCCAAATTGGCAGTTCTGTGTGTCCCCAAGAGTCCCAATATATGTGGAAGGGGTGATCCTAGGGAGCGTAGACTGGTCTACACAGTAGGCTGTGGGCAGGGAATACATGTCTCTCTGTCCCTATAACTGGAAATCCCAAGGAGTCCATGCCCTGACTGTAGCCAGAAACTCATTCTCTTTGTAATAAACCAAGTGTAAGGAAACATGCTATGACAGCATACAAATCTCTTCTGGCGAAGAAGTAGCCTTTCTGCAGCATGTGGATAAATCCCCAGAACTGGTAGGATTTCTTCATAGATCAGCAACCTGCCCTCCAGTTTTGGTTGCTGCCCTTGTCACACTTGGCCCCCAGGGACTGTCTTTCCCTGAGAAGTTTGCAGGAGCCTACGTATAAACTGAATTCTGCTTTCTCTTTCCTTTTTGCTACGCTACTATTATGTCATATTCAATGGAGATTCTAGAAAGCCCCTCTTGCATCTGTTTCTGTAAAACCTAGAAATTTTATTTCACTTCTGCTTTCTCCTTGTGGCATTCTGCTATTTAGGGAAGCCATTTGAAGCCAGAACCACAATAGAACAGAAAGCTGCTCTGTGTGAATAGGCAGGAAAATCAAGGGAATGAATGACCAGGATCCCATGGGAAATCCACCTCGGAGAGCAAGGAAACCCTGGTGATATGAAAATGCCTCCTGGAGTGCTGAGAGACAGGGAGGGAATGTGTCAGGTGCCTGAATCAGTAAATAAACATCACATCTCTTCTCCACTTCAATCTATATGCTTATTCTCCTGTCTCAGGTATTTATAAAAGCCACCATTCCCTGACTGCATATAAATAGGACATTTCTTTGAAATGAGGAGTAACCATTTTTCAACCACTCTACAGTTGCTGACAGAATCTAGCTTTTTTAGGCCACTTCCATTCGCAGTCACTTACTGAAATGTAGGACACAGGTCCTAAGAATTTTATAGAAAGATAAATATTATCCTCATCTACAGCTGTATGAAGAAAATAGGGAAATACCTATGATATTTTAACTTCTTACTAGATAGAAGACACAGTGGTAGGTGCTTCAAAATGCATGTTTGTTTCTAATATTCACAACTACACAAATATTTTAAAACCAATTTTTATGAGAAAAGTGAGGCTCAGTGAGATTAAGTGGGTTGATCAAGATCACACATACATCCAAGCAGAATGAAATTTCAATGTCAAAGTCTTTAATGCAAATTATGGGTGATTTTGTCAGTTTTGTATTCTGGATTTCTATTACAATTGCTAAATCTCCTTGTACTCGTGAATTATACACAACTCTTTGGTACGTTCTGAATTTCCATGCTTCGGGTTGTATTTTTAGCTGGTTTGATTAATTATTTTCTTTTCCTTAAGTATTGAGGAAGAGATTCTCTGATCCAGTTTCCCAATTTAATTTGTGAAGGAAGTTTGTGAGTTTGTATGTTTATGGTAATTTAGTTATTTTTGCATTCATGTAAGATTGTGATATTCATAAAATCAGGAAAAATAATTACCAAGGAGTATTAAACTAAAGAGCTTCTGCACAGCAAAAGAAACTACCATCAGAGTGAACAGGCAACCTACAGAATGGGAGAAAATTTTTGCAATCTACTCATCTGACAAAGGGCTAATATCCAGAACCTACAAAGAACTCAGACAAATTTACAAGAAAAAAACAAACAACCCCATCAAAAAGTGGGCAAAGGATATGAACAGACATTTCTCAAAAGAAGACATTCATACAGCTAACAGACACATGAAAAAATGCTCATCATCACTGGCCATCAGCGAAATGCAAATCAAAACCACAATGAGATACCATCTCACACCAGTTAGAATGGCAATCATTAAAAAGTCAGGAAACAACAGGTGCTGGAGAGGATGTGGAGAAATAGGAACACTTTTACACTGTTGGTGGGATTGTAAACTAGTTCAACCATTACGGAAAACAGTATGGCGATTCCTCAAGGATCTAGAACTAGATGTACCATATGACCCAGCCATCCCATTACTGGGGATATACCCAAAGGATTATAAATCATGCTGCTATAAAGACACATGCACACGTATGTTTATTGCGGCACTATTCACAATAGCAAAGACTTGGAATCAACCCAAATGTCCATCAGTGACAGACTGGATTAAGAAAATGTGGCACATATACACCATGGAATACTATGCAGCCATAAAAAAGGATGAGTTTGTGTCCTTTGTAGGGACATGGATGCAGCTGGAAACCATCATTCTTAGCAAACTATCATAAGAACAGAAAACCAAACACCGCATGTTCTCACTCATAGGTGGGAACTGAACAACGAGATCACTTGGACTCGGGAAGGGGAACATCACACACCGGGGCCTATCATGGGGAGGGGGGAGGGGGAAGGGATTGCATTGGGAGTTATACCTGATGTAAATGACGAGTTGATGGGTGCTGACGATTTGATGGGTGCAGCACACCAACATGGCGCAAGTATACATATGTAACAAACCTGCACGTTATGCACATGTACCCTAGAACTTAAAGTATAATAATAATAATAATAATAATTCTGCAAACTCCCCAAAAAAAAAAAGATAGGAGCAATTATTTAGATACAGTAATCTTGACAGCAATGGAACAAAGTAATGGTCAATTCAGAATTTTGAATATAATTTGTAACACAAACATGCAATGGGTATTATCAGACAAATGAAATCATCTTGGAAATAAGTAATCTTATCAAAATTATGTGAATAATGCCAATTATAAAAATGTGCAAAAACATTAGTATATAATAAGATAAAATAAAAATGTCCAGAATTTACAGATAATCAAGTATCTGTATTTCTATCTGTGCATCAAAAAAATGTATTCAACAGAAAATATACTTCTAAATAAATATATGGGAAATTGTTTGTCTCTGAGAGGAATATTATTGATAGATTGTGTGTGCATATGCAGTGTTTTCTAACATGTCTTTGCACAACTGGTACATTTCTGAGTAAAATAAATATTTAAAAATGCAAAAAAAAAAGATTTCTTATCATATCTGGCTCTATCAGAGAATTGCAGTGAAATTATAGTAAACTAGCATGACAATGGCACAAAGTAAGTAACTTAATTAAAGCCAGTAATTGCAATAACCATTATATTATCAATATTAATTGAATATTTTGATGAAAGATTGAATTAGTAATCTATTCCGGGCTAAATAATTAACAAAACTAGGCATCTTACTGATAGTCACAGTAGTATTAATTAAAACTGATAAATTACTATTGTAATTAAATATGCCATGACTTAAAATAAATATGAAATATATTAATGTCATTTGCCAGTACCTCAATTACATGAAATCTATTCAGAAAAATATACATTGCAAAAAGGAAAAACTATGCACAGAAAAAATAACCCACATTCTTTTCTAATCCCATTTTCTTTCTTTCTCCACTTAAGGTCACTAATCTTATTTAAACTTCCACTTACTCCAGTATGGTTTCTGTGTATTAATTTTACCCAGCCGATTCTCACTAAGGGTGCCAATGCCATCTATTTCCCAATTAGTAGGCAGTTTCAAGCCACACCTTGGGCAAATCCACTGAATCCTCTTCTCGGCACATTTATTTCCTTTTGTTTGTTTGTTATTTTGAGATGGGGTCACTCTCCCTGTCTCCCAGGCTGGAGTGCAGTGTTGTGATCATGGCTCACTGCAGCCTTGAACTCCTGGGTTCAAGCATTTATCTTCCTAAATACACTTTCATTATCTTTCTCTCCTCTTGCCTTCTAATGTACAGCCATTCCTTTGTAGCTGTGGTTGTTTCCTTTGTGGCTGTTCTCTCCCCTCCCTTTAAAAGTGAAAGGTCCTCAGAATCATGTTTAAACCTTTTTCTTTCTCTACACTCTCCTGAAATTGTGACCTTCATTTCTTGGCTTTCCCTTATCACATATGAAACCCCAGCAATCACATTCCTTGCAAATTGCAAACTTGTATATCTAACTGGCAATGGACAGTTTCTACTAGATGTATACTAGTCAATTCAAAGAGAATATCTCTGTCTTATTTTTACTTCCTCACATGCCTCCATCTACCTTCTGCAGAGAGAAATCATCGGTTGTTCCTTCTTCTCTTCATACCACTTACCATAACTGATATTAAGTATGATTACCGTTTTTAGGTTTTTTCATACAAAAATCAAATACACAAGAGAGCAGAATTGTATTTGTTGGGTTCACCTTGTTATCTTGAGTACAACACACAACCTGTTCACAGAAAGTTTATTTTTACTTATATCTTGAATATAATATTGATGGATAAATGAAGTGTACCAGTTATTCTTTAATTAGGTTGCACAATTAGGCTTGGAATTTCATTTCAAAGAATAAACAAGTACAAAAAGTTTCCATAGCAAAAGTTCAATGAACAAGACAAAATAAATCTACCAAAAAACATATTTTATTACATTAACCACACTGCAAAGGTACACATGACATAATATGAACAAAAATAAGTTAAGTTTTATAAGTAGTTAAATAAATAATATTTTAAAAATATTTAAATAGATAGTAGATCAGTCAGCATGGTCATCTGTAAGGGACTAGTGCCTTAAGAGCTGAATACAATGTTGCTTAACACTCCTAAAAACATTTGAAAAGATTTAAATCATGTCATGGTCATAGCAGAAACATGAATCTTTGAAATGGCAGATCATAAAAAGGTGAGCTGGTGTATTAGTCAATGAAAATAATTTCCATGTTGAACCAGTTTTCATTCCTTACTTCTTAAACTTTCTTGCAAGTTTGTTGACAAAGAAAAAGATCTCATAATTTCTGCTCTGACAACCTCCCAGGCACAAAGACTGTATTTCTTCTCTTTCAGATAGAGAGTGATTCTTTGGAAGTATTTCCTCACGGCCAGGATGGAGTTCTTGTTCATCAGGGGAGTCTCTGTCACCCCCATCTCCTGCATCACACAGGCTTCCAGGTCATTCAGCTGCTGGTAGAGTTCAGTGTAGAATTTGTTTAGGAGGGTCTCATCCCAAGCAGCAGATGAGTCCTTTGTGCTGAAGAGATTGAAGGTCTGCTGGATCATCTCATGGAGGACAGGGATGGTTTGAGCCTTTTGGAACTGGTTGCCAAACTCCTCCTGGGGAAATTCAAAGTCATGTCTGTCCTTCAGGCAGAAGAAAAGAGAGATTCTCCTCATTTGTGCCAGGAGCATCAAGGTCCTCCTGTTACCCAGGCTGTGGGTTTGAGGTAGATCACAGCCCAGAGAGCAGCTTGACTTGCAGCTGAGCACCACCAGGGCCACCAGTAAAGCAAAGGTCAAGGCCATTGTAGATGTTGCAGATGCTGCTAGGCTGGTTGAAATGGGTGAGCCTAAATGTTAGGCTCTAGGTTCTCTGAAGACCTTGCTTTGTGCCTAGCCTTAAATAGGGAACATATTCATTTACATTTTCCAAACGCCCCTGTGTTACTTTCTACTTCTCTTTTTGCTTTCTTTATGCACTCCTTATGTGGGTTTTAAGCCGTTTTTCTCACCACATTTTTTTCATTATTGTTTCCTTCCTCTCTTACCCCATAGCCTTTTTAGAAACTTTTTCTGATTGAATCTCCCATTATATTTTAATCACATATATACTGTGTATCTATTTACATATCCTATGTATATCTCTATTCTATACATTAAATTAAAAAGTATAAAGTTAATGTTTTTTATTATTGTAAAGAATGGTAAAACAATTAAAAATTAAATTAAAAGGCTATTGACATTTTACTTAACTTGATAATTATATTTTAGAGCAACTTTTTAGAAAATAGATTTTTGTGGGTACATAAGAGGCATCTGTGTTTATGGGATAAGTGAAATATTTTGATATAGGCAGACAATTCATAATAATCACATCAGGGTGAATGGAGTATCCAATGCTTCAAACATTTATCATTTCTCTCTGCGACATACATCCCATTTATACTATTTTAGTTATTTTACAATATATAATAAATTATTAACTGTAGTCATTCTATTGTGCTATCAAATACTAAATCATATTCATTTTTTCTAACTATATTTTTGTGCCCGTTAACCACCTCCATTTTCCCCCATATGATCCAGAAATCCCACTACTGGGTATTCATCCGAAGGAAAGGGAATCAGTATGTCAATGAGATATTTACACTCCCATGTTTATTGAAGCACTATTCACAATAGCTAAGATTTGGAAGCAACTTAGGTGTCTAACAGATGAATGGATAAAGAAAATATGGCATTTATACACAATGGAGTACTACTTAGTCATAAAAAAGAATGAGATTCTGTCACTTGCAAAAACATGGATGGAGCTGGAGGATGTTATGTTCATTGAACAACATCAAACCCATTGATTTGCACGTACTTAACCACACTTGAATCTCTAGGACAAATTCCACTTGGTCATGTTGAATGATTGTTTTAATGTGTTCTTGAATTCAGTTTGCTAATTTGTTGTTGAGGATTTCTGCATCAATATTCATCAGAGATATTGGCCTATAGTTTTCTGTCTTTTAAATGTGTCTTTCTCTGGTTTTATTAGCAGAGTAATACTGGCCGCATAGAATACATTTGGAAAGATTCTGTCCACCTCTATTTTTTTAATAATTTGAGTTGGATTGGTATTAGTTTTTTAAATATTTGGCAAAATTCATCAGTGAAGCCATCAGATCCTGTATTCTTTTCTGGGAGACTTTTTTTTAATGGCATGTGTCTCATTACTTGTTATTGGTTTGTTCACATTTTGTATTTCTTCATGGTTCCATTGTTACATGGTTCCGTGAAGAAATACAAAAACCATGAAGGAATACAAGAAACAATTCTTGTATTTCTTCTAGAACCATTCTTGTATTTCTTCATGGAACTATGAAAAAATACAAAACCTGAACAGATCAACATGTTGTATGTTTCTAGGAATTTATCTATTTTGTTTAGGTTTTCCAATTTATTGGCATATAGTTTCATAGTATCCTCTAATGATCCTTTAATTTTTTGTGGTATTGGTTGTGATGTCTCCTTTTCATCTCTGATTGTATTTATTTGGGACTTATTTTTTTCTTAGTCTGTGGTGAGAGAAAACATTTGAGATTATTTCATTTTCTTCTACATTTTAAGATTTGTTTTGTGATATAGCCTTTGGAATATCCTTGAGAATTATCCATGTGCTGAGGAGAAGAATGTGTATTCTGCAGCTGTTGGATCAAATGTTCTGTAAATATCTGTTAGGTCCATTTGGTCTATGGTGCAGATGAAGTTTGATATTTGTTAATTTTCTGTCTGGATTATCTCTCCAATGCTGAAAGTGGGGTGTTGAAGTCTCCAGTTTTTATTGTGTAGGGGCCTCTCTCTTTAGCTCTAATAATATTTGCTTTATATACCTGAATGCTCCAGTATACGGTGCATATATATTTAGAATTGTTACATGCTCTTGCTAAATGGAACACTTTATCACTATATAATGTGACCTTCTTTCTCCCTTTTCATAGTTTTTGTCTTGCAGTCTATTTTGTCTGATATAAATGCAGCTTCTGCTTCTTTTTGTTTGTTTCCATAGGCATGGAATATTTTTCCATCCCTTTACTTTCAGTCTATTTGTGTCTTTATAGATGAAGCATATTTCTTGTAGGCAATGGATCATTGGATCTAGGGGTGTTTTGTTTTGTTTTGTTTTGTTTTTTTGAGGCAGAGTCTTACTCTGTCACCTAGGCTGGAGTGCAGTGACTCAATTGATCTTAGCTCACTGCAACCTCCACCTCCCAAGTTCAAGCAATTCTTGTGCCTCAGTCTCTCTAGTAGCTGGGACCACAGGCATGTGCCACTATGTTCAGCTAATTTTTTGTATTTTTAGTAGAGACAGGGTTCTGCCATGTTGGCCAGGCTGGTCTCGAAACCCTTGGCCCAAGAGATCCACCAGCCTCAGTCTCCCAAAATGCTGGGATTATAGGTGTGAGCCACCACGCACAGATGGGTGTAATATTTTTTTTTTTTGAAATACATTCAGCCACTCCATGTCTCTTGATTGGAGATCTTAGTCCATTTACATTCAGTGTTATTATTTATAAAGACTTATTCCTGTCATTTTGTTATTCATTTTCTGATTATTTGACGGCCTTCTCTTCCTTCTTTTCTTCCTTTTTGTGTTTCTTTTAATGTAGGTGATTTTCTCTGCTGGTGTGTTTTAATTTCTCCTTTTTATTTTGTGTGTATTTATTATATGTTTTAGATTTGAGGTAACCATGAGGCTTGCATATAGTGTCTTATAACCCATTATTTAAACGGATAACTTAACACTGATTGCATAAACAAACAAGCAAAAAGAAAACAAAAAATCAAACTTCATCTCCCCACTTTTAACTTTTTGTTGTTTCTATTTATATCTTACTGTATTGTCTCTGTCTTGAAAAGTCATCATAGTTATTATTTTTATTGATTCATCTTTTCTTCTTTCTACATAAGACATGAGTAGTTTACACAGCACAGTTGCAGTGTTATAATATTTTGTGTTTTTCTTGTACTTACTATGACCACAAGTTTTGTACTTGCACATGATTCCTTATTGCTCATTAACATCCTTTTCTTCCAGATTGAATAACTCCCATTAGCGTTTCTTGTAGGTCAGGGCTGGTGTCGATGAAAGCCTCCAGCTTTTGTTTATCTGGGAGTCTTTTTTTTTCTCTTTTCTTTTTGAAGGATATTTTTGTCAGTTATATTATTCTAGGGTGAAAGGTTTTTTTTGTTGTTGTTTTTGTTTGTTTTTGTTTTTTGTTTTTCTTTCAGCATTTTAAATATATCATGCCACTTTCTCCTGGCTTGTGAAGCTTTCACTGCAAAGTCCGTTACCAGATGTGTTGGATGCATTATTTTCTATAGTATACATTATTTGTTTCTTTTCTCTTACTACTTTTAGGATCTTTTCTTTATCCTTGACCTTTGGGAGTCTGATTCTTTTTTCTCTCTCTCTCTCTTTTTTTTTTTCCAATAGGGTCTCACTCTGTCACCCAGGCTGGAGTGCAGTGACATGATGTTCGGCTCAATGCAGCCTCCACCTCTGGGTACAAGCGATTCTCATTCCTCAGCTACCTTAGTAGCCGGGATAACAGGTGTGTGCCACCATGCCCGGCTAATTTTTGCATTTTTAGTTGAGGTGGCATTTTGCTGTGTTGGCCAGGCTAGTCTTGAAATCGTGGCCTCAAGTGATCCGCCCTCCTTGGGCTCCCAAATTGTTGGGATTACAGGTGTGAGCTGCCACACCCAGCTGGGAGTTTGATTCTTAAATGCCTTGCGGCAGTCTGCTTTGTGTTAAATCTGCTTGGTGTTTTATAATCTTCTTGTAACTGAGTATTAATATCTTTTACTTTTACTTATGCTTCATCAGAGAAAATAATTTGTAACTTCCACAGCTGTTAGATATTCATCCAAATATCAACATTTTTTTTCTTTTCAGCACTTGACATAATTATTGTTGTGTTGAAAAACATTAGTAAAACTAAATAATAAAATGCAAACTATTTGCACTTAATTCTCAAAGCCCACCTTATACTCACAAGGAATGAGGCTCAAACATAAGCAACATTCAGGAGATAGCCAATGATATCTCACAAGTAAGTAAAGGCCACCACTCACAATATGACTTTGAGATTAAGCAAATGACTGAAAGTCCTCCAGTAAGCTCTCTATTTATCACGGGTTTCTAACACTTACCTTGCATGTATTTTCTCTATCTTCAATGAACTCAATGTCAATGCTTCTTGTGTGATACATGAGAAAACACAGTTGGAGAAATGAACACTAGGGAACAAGATTATGTTAAATAGGATTAAGCTTTGCAGGAACACAAACTATTGTAATATTTGGTCACACCTCAGAAACTAATTTTCACATGCTTGGGAGTGTTACCATCTCTAATAAAACTACACAACTTAGAAAATATCATCAATTTGATTTTTGTTTTGCATTTTTTTCATTAAAGTTCAAACATCCTAAGGAATTTTATATGTTTCAAACCAAGGTAATTCTTATAAAACAAAGAAAATAATCTTTTTCTTATATTTTAAACTGGATAAATGTTGAATATTAGTATAGGAAGCACTAACTTACAGCTCCTAATCCTGAACTCTGGCCTTACTTTTTATTTTGCGTAAGAAACTATGTTGTCTCAAACCTCTAGATTCCTCCTCATGTAAAAATGGTAGGTATGGGATCATCTTCAGTCATTCAGCTTTTTAATAACTGGACACTGTCTTATTCATTGCATTATCCTCAGCACCAGGCCTAGTGTACTCACTCAATAAATAATTTTTACAGAA